TATCAATTTATATAGAAAAAAATTAACTTTTATATGTAGCAACTTTTTAATGCGCAGTAAAAATATTTTTTGTCACTCGTTTGTTAATAGAAATGATCTACATACCCTCTACCCTTAAACATTTTCTAACCTTGTTAACCATTCGCACTTAATGACTTAATGTTCTTAGCCAGAATTTGAAAAAAAAGTTTTAATGAGTTTCGACGACCATTTCTGCATTTACAGTTTATAGAGTTTCTACGCGCAGAATTTATGTAACACTAACACGTGATCAATAAATTATAATAAATATTATCTGATTGATTCAGAAAGCCACTTACCCGAAAACCGCAAACAATTAAAGAAACCGACACCATGAGGTAAAGAAATAAAAGAAAAATATATCATGTATTTTAGCTTGTGCACGAGATTCCATCGTTTTGAAGAAAGAGTACAATCTTTAGGATAACATAAACGTTGAGAATCTCGCTTATTGATTATTACTTTTCTATGAAATCCGCAAAAACATTAGTTAAACACAATTAACATTTTGTAAAATTAGTGCTCAAACAAAATCAAAAGCGGAAATGACTGAAGAAGAACTTCGTCAACTCGAAGAACATGAATTCAATACCGGTCCTTTATCAGTATTACAACAATCAGTAAAGAATAATACTCAAATATTGATAAACTGTAGAAATAATCGAAAGCTACTAGCTCGCGTCAAAGCCTTTGATCGGCATTGTAACATGGTGCTAGAGAACGTTAAAGAGGTAATATTTATATTTTTAGAGCTAATAAAATGTTTAATACATATTTAAAACATGTAATTGTTTTATTAGATGTGGACGGAAACACCAAAAGCCGGCAAAGGCAAGAAAGCTAAACCAGTTAATAAGGATAGGTTTATTAGCAAGATGTTTTTACGTGGAGACTCTGTTATTCTTGGTACGTTTAACAAGTTTCTTTTTATCTTTTATAAAAAAATTATTAACACTTATATTACAATAGTGTTAAGGAATATTGTTTAAAAATTATAAATTTTGATTATATAAAAGCAAATATATCGGGTGTAAAAGTTCAAAATCAGTTTACTTATTTTGGCGCATTTATATTAGTAAAATTTTTGTTCTCATATACAATATCACCTAAAATAAGATAAAAATGACTAAAAAAATAAATCTAAATAATAATAAATGCGATATTCAATACAATAACAACGATCACGTACAGACCTCTCTATACAAAAATATTTATTAAACCATCGTTAATCCATCGTTAATGTGATAAATACTTTCTGCCTTTTAAACGTCTTCGAGCCAAAATTCTCCTCCCAGATTTGCGCCTTAACCTAGCCAAGAAACCATTTCTCCGTTTTCTGATAAGATTACTTGGTTGGTACTCTCTGCCATAAGCTTTGAATCGAACTTGAGAAAACCAAAGAGTGCTTGTTGGAATGGGGAATTGTGGTTGAATTCTGCTTTTTTTTTTATATAAAATTAATCCAATTTATAGTTGTTAAGCGAAACCATTTACGTAAATGGCGAAAGATGAAACCTAAGCCCAGAAAAGACAGAAGATGAAACCCCCTGACGAAACAACGAAACCCCGGCGAAATTGTGAAACCCTGACGAAACGACGAAATCCTGTCGAAGTGATGAAGCACCGGCGAAACGGTGAAACACCGGCAAAACTCTAATGAAAGACAACACCATCAGCGAAAAGCAAAACAAGTAAAATGTGAAATTCGGGAGAAGACTAGGCTATATTTAAATGGTGAAGGTGGCCGTTGGAAATAATAATTAGAAATGCACTATAAATAAAATGAATCAACGATGTGTATGTAATTAAAATATCACCGACTAAGATTTTAAAATTTAAAATCCCGAACTTTGGTTTCTTTACAGCATTTAGTTTAATTAATCAGGTAATAAAAATTAGATCTGAGATCTAGTTATCGTTATTTTATATTGTTTATTACCTTTAACGTTAAGAATATTATCGTATCAAAAAAAATGGTAGATTATCGGTAAACATCTAATTTAGACCGATCGTTCTCCAAATTTCCGGGTCGGAATGCGTAGGAGCTAGGTCGACACTTAACAATAGTATAGCAAGGTCTATAGAAAATTATCAATTGGGCAATTTTTACATAATAAATGAATATGGTTTCGCTGTGAAAGAACCCAATATGATATCATCTTGGGCAAGACTTCCAGCCGGCCAGGGTTCTGATGCATTCCGATACAGAAATCGACCAATGGAATTTCCCCGATTTCTTGGACACTATATATATATATATATAGATGAATTCAATTCATCCGTTGAAAAAAAGCAATGGTATGTAAAATTCTTTTAGATCTAATATAATTTCTTGAAATAATAATAATTATTATTTATATAGCCACAAAACGAGTACATTGAAGAGTCAATAAAGCGCCATGGTCGACGCTTGGATTATGAGGAGCGCAAGTAAATGCTCGTTTAATTCAATTAAAGCGAAATTTCAAAATTTTGTATTTACTCTTATTTCTTACAAAAAAGGCGGAAAAGACTTGCTCGTGAGGTGCACAGCTCTTCTGCATTTGCTCAAAAGGTTCATGGATTGAGAGCTAAATTGTATAATAGGAAACGTCACGCAGAAAAGATACAAATGAAAAAGATGTAAGCATTACTAACTTTTCTTTCACATTAATTTGGCCAATGCAGACAATATTAATATATTTTTGATCTTTTTAAATCCAAGGATCAAACAGCATCAAGAAAAATCTGCTAAACAAAAAGATTCACAGGCAGTTCCCGATAGTGCAATTCCTACATATTTATTAGATCGTGAAGGACAACAAAATGCCAAAATATTATCCAATATGGTGAAACAAAAACGTAAAGAGAAGGCTGGAAAATGGACAGTGCCATTACCTAAAGTTCGTGGAATTGCTGAAGATGAGATGTTTAAAGTTATTAAAACTGGGAAAAATAGAACAAAGCAATGGAAGCGCATGGTTACAAAGGCAACATTTGTTGGTGAAGGATTTACTCGTAAACCACCAAAATATGAAAGATTTATTAGGCCAATGGCATTGCGTTATAAGAAAGCACATGTCACGCATCCAGAATTGGGCGCGACATTCTATTTACCGATTATTAGCGTTAAGAAAAATCCTCAAAGTCCTCTTTACACACAACTGGGGGTAATGACAAAGGGTACCGTGATAGAGGTTAGTTGATTTATCAAAATTTAAAAGTTTTTTTTAAAGGGCTGACATAGAATTCTTTAATTACAGGTCAATGTCTCTGAACTTGGGCTTGTAACAACCTCGGGTAAAGTTGTATGGGGTAAATACGCGCAAGGTAAACATTTTTATGGTAATTTTTTTTTTATGTAAATTGATAATTAACTAACACCATTTCATTAAAAGTCACAAATAATCCAGAAAATGATGGTTGTATCAATGCAGTTCTTTTGGTTTAAATTATTCGTGGTTGTGTTAGTATAGTGTAAGGTATATAAATAAAATAATAATAAATTAGCATCATTAAGATTAATGAGATGTTATTTAGTTACAAAGTACTGCGGGTTCTTATACAAGTAGTGTAATAGTGTAACGATTCTCAAAAATATCACATGATTTTTAATTTAAGCTTTAAAGAATTTTCCAGAAAGTTTGTTTTTTTTTTTTCTTTAAACAATTTTGGTTGTTTTTAAGATAATTAAGATAAAAAATAAAATAAAAATGAGCGTAAGTACATTTATTATTATGGTTCTGGATTGGAAAATTGATTATTCACCAATATATACAAAAGGTCACGCCATTTCAAAAAGCCGTGTTATAGCCGAGGCATTTTTGCATTCTTGTGAGTTTGCAAAGCGAAAATTTAGAATCTCACTATGACACCGGTTTTTAGGCTGAAGAATTTAAGACCTTAGGCAATCAGGCCTTTTCCGCGAAAGAATATGAAAAAGCGATAGAGTTTTTCTCTAAAGCCATTGATATAGATCCTTCAAACCATGTGCTCTACTCGAACAGGTCCGCGTCTTATTCGTCTTTGAAACAATACGATAAAGCTTTAGAAGACGCGAACAAGACTGTTGAATTGAAGAGTGATTGGGCAAAGGTAACGAGCGATTCACTCTTCATATAAACTGTTTCTTATAAATTAAAAAACGAATAGAAATGATATTTTGATTTGGTTGATATATTAGGGTTATAGTAGAAAAGGCGCAGCTCTTCATGGCCTCGGTAGGCTTAAGGAAGCGCGTGAGACGTATGAGGAAGGTCTTAAGGTGGAACCGAACAATGCTCAACTTAAAAAAGCGCTCGAAGACATTGAACGTGCTGACAGTAAGTTGGACAACATATTGCTTTTTTATGTTTTAAAATTAAAATTTTCGAGTTAAATAAAACATTTTTATATATTAACAAACGGAAACAGGTCCCCAAGTTAAGATATTTGGTGATGACGCACTTGTGAGGATCGCCATGAATCCGAAGTTGAGATCTTATCTTGATCAACCAGATTTTGTTGAGAAAATTAAAGCGATTCAAGCTGATCCTAATAAACTTCAATTGTATATATCATTAGTTTTTGCGTTTTAATTTTATGTTTAAATTATTGAAAATGTAAAATTCGTCTCCTCTCAAGGTATATGCAAGATAATCGCATAAAGGACGCACTAATGTTTTTGTTGACTGGTGAAGTGAATTTTCCTCAAGAACCTCAAGAGCCTAAAGAACCGGAAAAACCAACGGAGCCTGAACCAAAGACTCGAGATATTCCCCAAACCAGAACCGGAACCTACGGAAAAATCCGAAGAAGTGCTTAAGAAAGAAGATGCTATCAAAGAAAAAGATCTTGGCAATGAAGCGTATAAAAAACGTGAATTCGAAAAAGCATTGCAACATTATGATAAAGCTTGGGAATTGGATCCTACTAATGCTTCTATTTTGACTAACAAGGCGGGTGAGTAAAGTTTTACATTTATAATCTGAAGTTATTTTTTTGTTATTAAAATAGATAATAATCTATATAATTTGTAGCTGTATTGTTTGAGCAAGAAAATTACGAAGAATGCATCAAAATTTGTGAACAAGCAGTCGATGTTGGTCGTGAACATCGCGCAGACTTTAAATTAATTGCTCGGTAATAATAAATCAATATATTTGACTTGTTAATTACGTCCATAATACTAGCTAGCTAAACTTATTATATTTCAAAATATTAAAGTGCTTACGGAAGAATAGGCAACGCTTATGTTAAACTTGATAAGTTTGATGAAGCAATTAAATATTACGGCAAATCGTTAGCTGAACATCGAACACCCGAAATACTTACCAAATCTAACGAAATTCAAAAGTTGAAAGTCAAACGTGAAAAAGAAGCATACTATAATCCAGAGCTTTCTGAAAAAGCTAGGGAAGCCGGAAATGAGCTTTTCAAAAAAAATGACTTTGCAGGTGCCGTGCAACAATATTCAGAAGCGATTAAACGTAATGAGAGTGATCCCAAATCTTATAGTAATCGCGCAGCTTGTTATACAAAATTAATGGCGTTCCAAGAAGCATTAAAAGACTGCGAAACTTGTATCAGCCTTGATCCTACTTTTAGTAACGCATTCATTCATATCTTATCCGTTGTCTTAATTGATATAAATATAGGTTGTTAATATACTTTTTATTACAGTTAAAGCTTATATCAGAAAGGCAACGGTAGAGTTCTTAAAAAAAGATTACTCAAAATGCTTGGAAACTTGTAAAACTGCAATGAATAACGATACGGAAAAAAAGCATACTTCGGAAATTCAGGCGCAAATGAGAAAATGCCAAGAAGCAATGTATCAAAGTAATCAAAGTAATCCGGAAAGTATGGAGGAGACAATTCGCAAGGCCGCTAGTGATCCTGAAATTATGGCATGTACATGAATGATAAATTTGATAGTATGAGAAAGATCATTATTTTTTAACATAGTTTCTCTTATTTAGAAAATCCTCCAAGATCCTGTTATGCAACAGATTTTACAACAATGTCAGGATGATCCACGTGCCTTCAGAGAGTATGTATTTTATTTATTTTAGTTTAACAGGCCATTGGATTCTGTTAAGTTACTAATTGTATTTATTTTATTATTATTTATTTAGACATCTTAAAAATCCTACTGTGGCAGCAAATATTGAAAAATTGATGAATGCTGGTGTTTTGAGAACTTCTTAAAACATTTCTTTTTTTGAATTTGCGTTTGAACAAGTGTTATATACAAACAGACCGATTTTATTTTATTAAAAAATTATAAATCACTTGTTTTTTAAATCAATTGTTGTAAATTTGGTAATAATAAAATGTTATAACTTTATATTTATTATAATTTTGAGTTTGCAATATTTTGTGATACAATTGTGATTTATATAAGAAATAAAACTTTTTTTGTTATAATTGATGCTATATTGTATATACTGTAGTATAATTGTTTAATTCAGATAAATCACCCAAATTTAGTTTTATACAGTATATATATAGTATAAATTTGTACTGTACAAAAAAAATCATTTAAATTTGATTTAAAATATACAATATACAGTATAAGTTATAATTTTATTTAGTATTTACTAAAGTTTATTACTATATGTTATTACAGTATTATACAATTTAATAAAAAATTTATTTCTAATTTTAAAGCTAAATTAAAATTTGAGTTGGGTTTAACAGTTAAAGTACTAAATATTTTTATTTAGTTATCAAATAATAAACCTTTATTTTTATTTTTTTTATAATTTTATTTAAAAAAATATTTAGTAAAATCTTTATTAAATTCCAAAAATTTATTTTACTATTATACTATATTAAATTCCAAAAATTTATTTTATTATTATATTGTATTATAAATTAGTTATGGAACTTGTAAAAATACAAAAAACTTTACAGTATATCAAAATCTAATTTATATTAAAAAAATCACAAATTACAGCCGAGGTCTGATTGTATTATTTCTGCTCTTTTCGGATCTACTATTACACAACCCTATCGGAATAATTGCATTATATAAGAGCAGTGATAAAATTACGATCATTTACAGTTTACAGTGAAATCTAACCTCTCCCTTAGATAATTTCTCTGATCATATGATTTCTTAACAATTCTACTTCTTTGGGTGAAATCTCTCTCTATCATTGATATTTAAATCAATAGCTATTTTAAACTTTTGGTTGGAGGTAATTGACTATGCAAACCTCCTAGAGCGTTAATCGGCATAATCAATTTCACTCAAATTGAACTCGTGTGATCAGTGAGTATTTAGAAATTTGATGAATACGAAGCGACAAAATTGATTCGAGTTAGCGTTAGGTTGTTTAATTAATAATTTCAAATTATCAAAAGTTATTGAAACGGTTAAACATATAAGCACATTTAGGGTGAATTCTTTTTTTATTTGAATCTTTTAGATTTATAAAATTTAATTAAATAATTATATGTATATATATAGTACGTATATATTTTTAAATTTGCAATTCAACAGCGGTATATGAAGAAATTTTATTTAACAATATCTAGAATGCATTAGAAATATAAATTATCCCTTTGGAATAAACTTATTTAAAGTGGCTATAATGCAAGTTTATTCGATAGACACGGGTTTTTTTATTTGAGGCAAAAATCGTCCGGATAGATAGAATGAATTTATTAAATAAAATCGGTACTATATTATGCGGATAAGATATTAACAATTAAATAAAAAAATCAATACGAATATAAATTTTATGTATTCTATACTAAATAGCAACAGGTTTCAAACTAGCAAGCATAACTACTAGTGAATGTGTACAGTATAAGCATAAGCTGGTTTTATGTGCTTTGGGAACAGTGTTCAATCAGACGAACTAACCAGTTTAAGCAGGATAACGTCCACTATGTAATTTATTTATTCATTCATATTACATTAAACAAATCAATAAAATATAATCATTTTGTGCGTCAATTATATTGAAATTTAAGAATCGCATAACTTTCGAGCATGGTATCAGGCATTAACTAATCTGTTTTAACAAGCTACTAGTCATAAATTCGACATTGGATCGTAAAATGAACAAAGTTTCTTTTACAACTTCAGATTATAATCTTGAGTTGACAAGGTCGAATTAAATTCTAACATTTCAAGTTATATTATAAATAGTATATATGCAAATAAACCATTCTTTTAGTTATTTATTAAAACTAGCCTTCGTCCCTTAAATATAATAATAACGAATAGTATAACATAAGATAGATAGAATTATACCGTTACGTACACGTTTTAATAACATAATAAATTATTTAAAACTTTATTGCAGTAAAAGACTCTTTGAATTATGGCTGGTTCTTTAATATAGCATTTCTAGGTAGTCGATGTGTGATCTATTAATCACGTGAAAGTCATTCTCTGTAACAGATGAACCATCGGAAGCGAAACTTTCTTGATTTTGTATTTACATCGGATGTTCGCTATGTCTTCGCCTGGTAATTACCGTTACGTAGACAAATTATGAAAATTTTGTCGATCAAAGTCATTAGCCAATCCAAATCGAGAATCTGCCGTGACAAAATTAGTGCGGCATGTTATGACTAGTGATAATTGTTGAAATTCAATGTCTAGTTCAATACCACCACCACCACCACCCCCTCCCCCTTTGCCCAAAGAGTCCTCTTCAACTCCACTTTCTCAGGAATTAACAAAACCAAATAACATCACTGACCAGCCTAATGCTGTTTTTTCCGACATACAAACTCCTCAGGAATTGACTGCATTTGTGTGTGTTTTTTTCGTTTCTTGGTTTTTTTTTATTGAGCTACTTTTAACAACCTTTATCTTTCAATTGGTCATTTCTATTATTTATATTATCAATAGGTTGAGACTATGCTCCGACAATTGGTATTTATAAAGAGAACGTGTATAATTAGCTGTCCTATTATTGTCATAAAAAGCTCAGAATCAACGATAATTTTTAATTAAGCACCTGAAATAAAAACATCTTCGATCGTGTCTCTAATATTATTTCATGATATATTTCTATATTAGAAACTTCAAAAATTAAGATATTACGAATTACTTTACCTTTATATCGATATGTTTTTAATACAGTCAATTGAACTGGCCATTCTTATGATAAAAAAATTTCAATAGTTTTTATGTAGAGTAATTATTATGTCACTAACACTTCAAACAAAAAGATGTTTTCCTACGAAGTGAAGATTTGATATCTTGATATATTGTCGCATAATTATCTATCACGTTAACTACATTTTTTATAGCAGACATTTTATCGTTATCGTGCTTCTGAGCTTTAATTATGACGTAAGCTACGTTTTTTTTTATGGGCGATATTAGGACTGTTTGTCGTTTGTTTTTTGATTAATTACTAATATTTATCGTTATTTGGATATTAATTAAGCAAACAAAATTTGATGATTTATCCACGCAATTAGTAAATAAAAGTATGAAATTCAATTCGTTATTTATATTTATGCTAGATTTAAGGTATACTGACTTATATTATGTCACAAGTGGAAGATATGGATTCACGAATAGATGTGCTTCAAAAATCTCTTGAAACTTTAATGCAACAGGCTGATACCAATAATCTTATAGTTGATGATGTGAAGAAATAGATAATTAGAAAGAAACATAATCCTTATTACATATTTTACTATTGTTTATTATTGTTACGTATTAGTAGGGAAATAGAAAAAATATTAGTTTTTAATTAATATTTTCAAGCATAAGTGATTTGTTAGGTAAGTTATTTGTATAAGGTAAAAAATGAATTTCTGGTTGACTTTTACAGAAGTAAACCTTTCGGTCAATAAAATAAAAGTAGTATCGATTAACAACTTAATATTTGAACAAATTTATAAACCTTTATCGGTTCTACCACATCCAAAATCCCGACACTCAAAATCCCCGACAATACTAAAATTCCGATGTCATATTAGTATTTTCGGGATTTTGGATGTCTTATCATATAATACAGACTATTAATTTATATGCTCGATTTATTTATTATCTTTATACTGTGTAAAATTATACGTATAATTTTATTACCACGCAATTTTATAACGATTAAAATGTAAAGTATGTAATTACTGTACATCAATTTTAAACTGCACTATTATGATTGAAATTATAAACTACAATCCCAAGCAGTAAGGAATAAAAATGATCTTTGTAACTTTATCTTTTATAACATGGCTTTGAATGTTTCATTAGCGTTAGTTATTTTTCAAACTTTCGGAAATTAATAACTATATATATCGATATATATATAATCGGAAGTCGGAAAAAAAAAAAGAAATACATTGTCTAGCTATATAAATTTAGTAATTAAATATTATTATGGCAGGAGGTATATAAAACAAAAACTAAATGCTCACAGTGAGGGTCGAACTCACGACCTTGGCGTTTCAATAATTAATATTAGCACCACGCTCTAACCAACTGAGCTATGCGAGCTTATAATGGAAAATTACGAATTTTGTTCATTCTAATATATTATAAATTGCTTTATAAAAAATAATAAAAGTTGATAAACATCTAAAGAACGAACTTTACTACTAATGTCTGTATGCAAAATCGGATGATAAAGATTTATATTATTCAAAATTCAATGATATTTATAATTTATGTTGAGGGTGTGATACTCTCAAAAAAAAATTATTATTAATTATAAGTGTTCCACACTAACATATAACCCAAAATAAAATTCGTCTAAGAAATTTTTTTTTTTCGTCTAAAAAAATGTCCGTGAAGTAATAATACTAATAGTTTATAAAAACTTAACCACGGGTAAATTTTCCGTAAATATGAAGAATGAATACGGATCCGATAAACGCAAGTGCAAGAACGACGACAACAACCGGATCTCTGTAATATTAGTGCACATAAGTCATTTTAAAGTAACATTTTGATTCATTTATAAATTGAATAACTTACACTTTTAAACCTGGGGCATCATCAGTGTATAACTTCATCATGGTTGAAGAACTACCACCAGAACGTGAAACAGTTTTATTCCCACCCGGCGACGTTGTACGTCTCCTGTGAAAAGAATGAATTTTTTTTTAATATTTACATGAAATAATTCGATTAAAAAAGTATTTTTTACTGAGAATATAGAAAGCTAAATCTCATAAAGATTCAAAAATTTCATTTACGACAGAGATTAAGCTTACCTGACAGCGCCTTTTGGATTTCCAGTGTCCTAAATAATCAAAGTCAATACTGTCATTAAGAAAAAAAGAAATAGTGCTATGACACAGTATTAAAATACATACCGCCATATTGTTTTACGATATATAGTTAGAAAAAATATATTAAAAGAGAGAAGGGTGTTCAATGAAGATTTGGAGACGCTGGCTTGTATGTAAATTGGTTTTTTTTTTGTGTCTCAAATTTGGATTTAAACACGAGTCTTTTTTTTATTGGTGAATGTCAGTTTATTGCAATTTAATGCAGTAATATCTATAATATCTATAATATCTATTATTGTGAAACAATTGATTCTTTTTATATCAAGTTCGGAATTACCAACGAAATTTTTAAATTTTAGGCACCGACGATCCATCAAGAATAGTATTTTTAAAGATCCAAGTAACAAAGTTTACAGGTCTTAAAAACCAATTATAAACCAACCTTCAACAACTTTATCTTTTTTGTTATTTAATAAGTATTAATTATCGATATTGTTTGGTAATTAAAATAAATATACATATTAATATTTAAACAAATTATATTAAACCAATTTTACAATATATACACAGTATATACATTATTAATTAATTAATAACATTAAAGTATTAACACAAGCTATTTATAATCTACTCTTTAAATTTTGAGGATCAAAATGTAATATATGTTTTAAATAAATCATATCAATTACAAATTTGTTTATTGGCGTAGGAATCCCATAAATTTTACCCAATTTTACCAAATATCCATTAAAATAATTAATTTCAGTTAATTGACAAGTCTGAATATCTTTTAACATATCAGAACTTTGTAGTGAAGTTTTTTTACAAATTTGTCTTATTGTATTAATTAATCTTTCAGAACCAAACATATTTGTAGGTCTCATTCCTAAATGTTCACAATGTTTTTTCATTATTTGTGATGATTCATTACATAGTGCATATAAAACTCGATCTGCACCTGGATTGTCTAATAATCCTCTGTTACGCATACTAAAAATTGTGGTAATCGGATTGATACAAGCATTAATAACTAAATTCTCTAATAATCTATTTTGTAGATTTTGCACATTAACATGTCTTACATATAATTCAGGAATTTTGATTAAAGTTTTTATTGTTGTATGTAACGAGTCCATTATATTAAATTGTGTCCCATTTTTTTCATTTTCATTTTCATTTTCGTAATTTTTCGTTATTACCGGTGATGAACCGTTCCTTGCTGATTGAGAAGATATATCTCTTGAATAATTTCCTTCTATTGATTGATCATCATGTCTAGGCATAATTCCAAGTTCAATTTCACCAACTTCACTATATAATATATCAAATTGATTACCCGTATTCTTTATCTTACGACATATATGTGATGATATTCCCATTAAAATGTTTGGTCTCGATTTTTCGTTATTTGCGAAAAAATTTTCCATTAATTCTTCATAAATTCCCATTCCATTTGATAATAAAACTATTGTACTCGTTGGAGATAACCGATAAAAGATTTTTTGAAACGATTGATTAACATCATAAGCTCTTGTAGTGATTATTAGTCTCCGAATTTGCATATTTGGTGGACAAACTCCATAACGTTGATCCATTAATTCATTCATATTATGTCTACGTAATACTTCTGTATCGTAACCATGAGTTTGTTCGACATTATCTTTATCTTGAATTACAGTTATTGTTCGTTTATGTTTTTCAAAATAGGTAAGAGTAGCAGGAGTCCGAAGTATTAAAGTAACCTTGTGATTGTGTTTACGGAGGTAATGAGCAATCAAGTTACCGAGACTACTATCGCCAAGAATATGAAATCTCATAGTTAATGCTTTTAATTTTTCGTGAATGAGTATTTAGATTTTTTTTTTGGTGATACAGATCTTTGGACACATTGAGATGGATTTCCTTATGTCAAGAAAATGATCTACATCCGATGTAACACACAATTTTGATAATATTATATATATATATTG